GGGTACACTACATGTGGTTCACACTTCTCTACGTGTCCAGTGCCAGAAACAACTAACCATAGATTGACTGGGTACACTACATGTGGTTCACACTTCTCTATGTGTCCAGTGCCAGAAACAACTAACCATAGATTGACTGGGTACACTACATGTGGTTCACACTTCTCTACGTGTCCAGTGCCAGAAACAACTAACCATAAGTTCACTGGGTACACTACATGTGGTTCACACTTCTCTACGTGTCCAGTGCCAGAAACAACTAACCATAAGTTCACTGGGTACACTACATGTGGTTCACACTTCTCTACGTGTCCAGTGCCAGAAACAACAATCCATAGATTGACTGGGTACCCTACATGTGGTTCACACTTCTCTACGTGTCCAGTGCCAGAAACAACTAACCATAAGTTCACTGGGTACACTACATGTGGTTCACACTTCTCTACGTGTCCAGTGCCAGAAACAACTAACCATAAGTTCACTGGGTACACTACATGTGGTTCACACTTCTCTACGTGTCCAGTGCCAGAAACAACTAACCATAGATTGACTGGGTACACTACATGTTGTTCACACTTCTCTTCGTGTCCAGTGCCAGAAACAACTAACCATAGATTGACTGGGTACACTACATGTTGTTCACACTTCTCTACGTGTCCAGTGCCAGAAACAACTAACCATAGATTGACTGGGTACACTACATGTGGTTCACACTTCTCTACGTGTCCAGTGCCAGAAACAACTAACCACAGATTGACTGGGTACACTACATGTTGTTCACACTTCTCTATTTTTCCTATCCCATGTTAATTTAACCCCATTATTTTCCACCTGCTACTATAATAGCTTCTCTCCCAAAGCTGTATTTTTCAGCTGTATGTGTCTGAAAACTTTGTGGCTCTAGGATATAAAAACCTTAGCAGAGACACAGCAAAACCACCTAAGATTGAAAGAGTTAAACTGCTATAGCTACATATGAAGGAAAGTAATTAGTAAACAGCAAAAAAAAACAGATAATTAACTGCATTCATCTTTTTTGGTCAAGAATTGTTTTTAAAAAAAAGTGTTTACAAAGGCAAGTATCACAAAATCATGTCACAATGAACCCAAAAAATGGCCCATTCACGTACTATGCAGTCACAAATAGTACCAAAGATATTTTAAGGAGAAGTGATGCTGACCAAAGTTTTAATGCCAATAAAAATCAGAGAAGCTGTGAAACTGGCATTTACAGGGCAAAAGGGTTCAATCTCATATGTATGTTTCCCCGGTGTGGGTTCCGGGGCCCTATTGTAGGGAAAACAAGAATAGACCCACTGCCTACCCAAAAGCATGTCGTAAAAGTCGACTAATTGGGAGCTTCCTTCGAAGTTGGAGTGCATCTGCCTGAGAGGCAAGGAACCAACAGTCTGCACACAAATGTGTCAGATCTGTCAAACTGATGCACATGCAACACTCAGGTTCTGGAACAGGACTGCAGTCCAGAAGTGGACGAGCAACCAGAACTTTCCACCAGAGTTTACAGCTGGTGAACGCAAAGAAGAAGGAGAAGAAGATATGTATGTTTTCATTACCTAGTTGTTTTGCTTGGTTTACCATTTGTTTCAGATCTAGTAGTAATGCCTTTCTTCTCACTGTATTTACGTGTAGTCTAAGGGAAGGGCGATCCCAGCTGCGGGCCATGCGCCTTGCGTTGGCGTTGATTTCGACAGTGGTATCAAGAAAGCTGACCGCCCAGAAAGCAATGGCAAACTACTGGACGGCCAGGGGCTGTTGGGGTTGGTTCTGCAATGTCCTGTAAAGGATATGCAACAACCTAGGGAAAGGGTCTCCTGTCATCTTGGCTGGCTGAGTTATTTTTCTTTACCTTTTCTAGGTTGTCTAGATATTTCAGCTATAATTTTCTATTGGAGGGGGTAGTCAGACCCACACTAATCCTTCTAAGTCAAGTGTTATGATACACAAGGAATGTCAGTGTTATATTATTTTCCTCCTTTAAGGGTCCAAGTAAAACACAGGTGCCTCTAAATAATTATAAGCTATATTTGTTGCTGTTCCTGTTTAAGTTCCATTCATAAGAATAATGTTTAAGCATGAAAGGCAGAGGAAGCCACAATGATATATGTGGAAAGCATAACTTGGTAGGCAACAAATGAAAATATAAGCAACATCAGCAAGAACAACCTAGAAGAAATGAAGACCAACCTATACCTTTAAAACAATCAGCAAAAACGTCAAAGATATAACAGTGTGAATGACACTGTAATAAATAAAGGTGTAAATTAGCGATCAGAAAAAATACTCTCTTCACACACTCTAGACACATCCACAGATGCTCTGATTTTCTCATCAAAAGCTGCACAAACATGTCAGCCTTGATTAACCAAATATCTTGGGGACATATGTCTCTCAGGACATGCATCTTTGATGGCACCAATGCTATATCTCCTGTCCAGTGCAAGACTAGCTACAGTAACTGTACAGGCACTGTCAGCCTTAAAAATATGGAAGATCAATACCCAAAAGACAAGCTACAGTAACTGTACAGGCACAGCCAGCTTTAAAATATGGGAGATCATTACCCAGAAACTAGCTACAGTAACTGTACAGGCACTGTCTGCTTTAAAATATGGAAGATCATTACCCAGAAGACTAGCTACAGTAACTGTACAGGCACTGTCAGCCTTAAAATATGGAAGATCATTACCCAGAAGACTAGCTACAGTAACTGTACAGGCACTGCCAGCCTTAAAATATGGAAGATCATTACCCAGGAGACTAGCTACAGTAACTGTACAGGCACAGCCAGCCTTAAAATATGGAAGATCATTACCCAGAAGACTAGCTACAGTAACTGTACAGGCACTGTCAGCCTTAAAAATATGGAAGATCATTACCCAGAAGACAAGCTACAGTAACTGTACAGGCACTGCCAGCCTTAAAATATGGAAGATCATTACCCAGAAGACAAGCTACAGTAACTGTACAGACACTGTCAGCCTTAAAATATGGAAGATCATTACCCAGAAGACTAGCTATAGTAACTGTACAGGCATTGCCAGCCTCAAAATATGGAAGATCATTACCCAGAAGACTACCTACAGTAACTGTACAGGCACAGCCAGCCTTGAAATATGGAAAATTACCCAGAAGACTAGCTACAGTAACTGTACAGGCACTGCCAGCCTTAAAATATGGAAGATCATTACCCAGGAGACAAGCTACAGCCAGCCTAACAACTGTTCATTTCCTCACAGCCTTGAATACCCTTGGCAGAAAATCCAAACTATGTTGCTGATCTGATGCTGGCAAAGTGATACAAGCCATTCAATATGTATCACACAAACTTCTAATTGTCAATGTATGCTCTGTTAGCCCGTTACAAGTACAACATGTCAGATTGTACTACACTCCTGTCATTTTGGAGTGCTGATTCCATTCCCATGTGTAAAAATCAAACAGTATAGATGCTTTCAATATCTAAGCTGTACAGTGACATCTCATAGAAGATTTAAGTAGAAGAGTTTAAACAATCCAATGATTATATCAAAATATTTTTGTATAAAAAAAATAAAAAAAATAAGACAGGCATCAAAATCTAATTGCTGTAAAGGTGTTGACACCTTGGGAGGTGTTAGAAAGTTTCTGTGTTTTTTTTTTAGGAACAAGACTGTTACCGAAGAAGAAGAAAACAAAAGAAGAGGTGCAGAGAGCTACAGATGGTATGTTATAAAAAAGATAAGAAAATGACATATGAAATGTATAAGGGATATCGGTGGATAAGAGTTTCTTTTTTTCGTCAGGAAAACTTAAATAGCTGGACAACAAAAATTTAAGCAGCATCAATTTATATCAATATCAACTTTACAGACATGAAGACCAGAATCATGCGTGCGTGTGTATATGTGTGTGTGAGAGAGAGATAGAGAGAGAAACAGAGAGAGAAACAGAGAGAAAAACAGACAGTAAGACAGAGATAGTGAAAGAGAGAGAGAGAGAAAGATGGACAGTAAGACAGAGATAGTGAAAGAGAGAGAGAGAAAAACAGACAGTAAGACAGAGATAGTGAAAGAGAGAGAGAGAGAGAAAGACGGAGAGATAGAGAGAATTTATGGGAAAGGGGACCAGAGGATTTCCCAACAACTGACCTAGATTTCCAGTTAATTCCAATCTAAATTGGATACCAAAAACTATTCCGTGCGGTAGAGTTGCTTGCTGGGATATTAACCACAATGGGCCATTTGATTTAGATACAAATATCGTAGAACAGGGCTGACAGAATTATGGTCAGCAATGTTGCTCCAAACCTGATACCTGAAGAAGATCCTGGTTTGTTTTACCAACAATAATATGTGTGTACATAAAAGTGTACAATAGATCATACTGTGGAAAAAAAACAGATACTGCAACAGTTACTCAAGAACAAACCATTAAAAACCTATACATACAGACGCATATACACAAACACATGCAAGCACTCAAAAGCAAACAATTAGCAAAAACAATAAAACCAGAGAACAATTCATTATTTTGTCTATTTTAAATGGTTGAATAAATGAACATGAAAAATGTCTTCCGTTTTTAAGTCTGAATGGGAGTAAACAGGATCTGTTCTAATTAGCTTGACATCTGAAATGTGAGTCATCAGGTCATTCTGGTGTCATATCAGGATCAAACCCAGAGCAAACCATAACAACAACAAAAACAACAACAGCAGAGAATTCTCAGACATAGTGAACAACAATTTATCATGGTGAGAATACCTCTGACAAATGAAGATCTGCATTATGGATAGATATGACACAAGAACTGCATTAAGGAGAGCAGAGACTATGGCACTGAGAACAACAGATACTATCCATGATACTGTCACATTTTCTGTGAAAATTATGATAATGTAATTTTAAAGTTAGTATGTAAATATGTATGTTTTTGCACCTAGCACAAATACATAAGCAAACACACACAAACAATATTATGCTGGACAACATAATACTTACAGCACACTTTCTATCTCACAAGCATGTAGATAGGCTTGATGGTCGCAATGCAGGATGAAAATTAAAGGAGCCAGCAGTTCATGCATACCCTGTAAATAAACCGGTTGAAAAACTAAGAAACGAGTTGCTATTTGTTCATAACATCATTATTATCAGTCTCCATTTATATTAAATTTTTATTTGCAAATTTCAGCATGTTATTATTAGAAGTTTGTGCTTTTAACAATTTTAACAACATAATAGTTGATTATAATAGTTTACATATTTTTTTAATATACAGGCTCCTAAACTTGACAATTTATAAAATAAATTTCATTTTTTCATAACTAATTTAGGAATTTACATAAACCATCATAGCAAAGAGTAGTTAACTGAAACTTTCTAATAATAAAATATGTCTATTTTACTAATACTAATCATGTGTATGGTAAAAACAAGGGTGAAAGAACACACCCTTGCCTTAATTTTGATTTTACCAAGAACCAATTTGTGTGGTTAGCTCTTGTTCTGATAGCATTGTCTTCATAGATGCTTTTATGCAGTGCTTCCTTTATTCCGTACTTCTCAAGGATTCCCGACAGTAAATACTGGTTTAATCTTTCAAAGGCAGTATCGATTTTAGCATACTGCTTTGTTTTTCCAGGTGAATGGCATATAATTTTCAAATAATGATGTATTAATAATTAGAAAAAACATAATCAGACATGAAAATCTGAAAATTTTCAAAGTTAATTAAAACCAATACACATGTCTCTACACAGTAAAAATTGTCACATATATTCAACAGCAATTTTTACATTAAAAACCCTATATACTTAACTTTATATATACAGTGTCCTTTCCGAAGTCTAAAAATTGATGTTTGTTCTAGAAGGACCAATGATATTGTATGACAGAATTACCAACTTTTTTCAAAAATGACCTTCGCTCCCAGGTCGACCCAGCCTTGAGTGGGTACCGGGTGCAGTCACGGGAAGTAGAGGCGGCCGGCGTGATGCTGACCATATCACCCATCTTGTGCCGATTGGTCTATAAAATATAGGTCTAGCCCTATATGCCTAAAGACGTGGAAAAGGGTCCTTTACTTTTGTTTACTTACAGAATACATACCAATGTAGAGCTCATGAATATATATATATACAAATCATTAAACAGCAGTCAACAAATGCTCGAGACAACTTACGCCACTGGGGCAAAGTGAATCAAGCCAAGAAGAGGAAAACTGTACAAATCTGTGTGAATCAAGAAGGACAGGATTAAAAAAAACATACTGAAAAAGCAAGTGACTCTCTTGAATGACGAAAAGTGTAATAAAGGCAAAAAGAACACACAAAGAGACCGAGTTTCTTTCATGGAGACTGTGATGAGAGCGACTTCTGCAGAGGACCTGCTACAGGATGAAGATATATTTTATAATGTCATAATTTATTTTTCACTTAAATTTATTTTTAGCTTTTTTATTTGAGGTATTTTGTTTAAAAATAAATGTTACTTTTTAATTTATTAAGAGTTTTATTGAAACTACTGTGGAAAAACTGCTCTGGTGTGTCAACCATTAACAGAGTAAACAAATGGTTCAATAATGAAAAGAAGAAATCCTAAAGAAAACAAGACTGCAGGCATATCTAATTCAGGAAGACAGAACAGAGCTGCTAGGAACTTCTACAAAATAATGAAACTCGGTATGTTACATTCCCTGTGTCATCAAATGAGTACTTCTGTACTGATTAGATATATGGAGAACAATTTAAATAATTACTTGCAGACTACAAATAATAATTGGTGCCTGCACAGAACAGAAGGACCAATTCTTTTTCTTCTTCTTCTGCGTTCAACATCAGTCATGCTAAACATTGAGTCCCATCTGGGTCACAAATAGGATTGTGCGTTTAAGGTCGCCACCGGTCCCCCATAGCTTCTCTCGCAATGTGGATTCCCTGGGCCAGATACACAGTCTTTGCTGGGAAAGGTAAGGGCAGTACTGTAGTATGTGCCCAGGGTTCTGTCTTTCTGCTCCACAATCACAGGCAGCAGATTCTTTTATGCCTATCCTGTACAGGTGTGCTCGAAGACCACACTGTCCTTTCCGAAGTCTAAAAATTGATGTTTGTTCTAGAAGGACCAATGATATTGTATGACAGAATTACCAACTTTTTTCAAAAATGACCTTCGCTTCCAGGTCGACCCAGCCTTGAGTGGGTACCGGGTGCAGTCACGGGAAGTAGAGGCGGCCGGCGTGATGCTGACCATATCACACATCTTGTGCCGATTGGTCTATAAAATATAGGTCTAACCCTATATGCCTAAAGACGTGGAAAAGGATCCTTTACTTTTACTTTACTTACAGAATTACCAATGTAGAGCTCATGAAGTGAACTATACAAATCATTTAACCCAGTCAACAAATGCTCGACACAATTTCACCACTGGGGCAAGTGAAGAGAAGAAGATGAAAACTGTACAAATCTGTGTGAATCAAGAAGACAGGATTAAAAAACATACTGAAATAGCAAGTCTTTCTCTCTGAAGCTTGATGAAAAGTGTAATAAGGGCAAACAATAAACACACAAAGCAGATAATTTTCATAATGGTGAATCAGTTAGAGAAGATATGGAGTGAACAGTATCAGATGGCAAAGAACAGTACAGCTTGGTTTCAGATGGCTGACTGCCTATGCTCCATTTGGAGATAAAAGACGGAAAATAAAAAATAAACAGAATACAGACATTTTACAGAAGAATTATTAGCAAATATTGAAACTATGCAAGCAGAGAACATTCAAAAGTATAATAAAAAATCTGGTACATACAACAAAAAAGCTTTAAGTCACAGTAAAATAGTGTTAAAAAACAACTTTCTAAAGTAAATCATAATAAGCAAATGCATGTGCGGGTATGTGTGTGCGTGAACATATTCCCACACATGCGCGTGCGCACACACATACACACAAAGTAACCAGATTTTCATGTAGTCATCATCATCACGTGGTGCTGTGACAGTGAGCATAGGCTGCCATGTCTCACCACATCCTTTTGGCCAGGCCATCCAGGTATTTATTTATTATCTTGCCAGTTGTTACCCAAATTCTCAAGTCAATTTCTTCTCATAAAATGTTTTTTTTTTTTTTTATTTCTAAATTTTCTAAAAAGTATGACTTTCATTTGTCTCGAAGAGGACTGCTTCATTTGATTTTCTATCCTTCCATATTTCTCTGCATTCTTCCCAGAAACCCTATCTCTGCTGGGAGTAAATGTTTTTCAGTGTTTTTAATTATTGTCCAAGTTTTACAAGCACATAACAACACAGGTTCTACATAGCACTTGAACACTCTTTTTCTCACAGCAGTTGGCATCTTCTTGTTAGTGAGAATCTTTTGCATATTACTAAAAGCCACATTTGTCAAGCTGATTTTTGTTCTAATTTCTGCAACACATCTTGTATCAGATGCTACGGCTGTTCCTAAATAGTTGAATCTATTAAACCGCTTAATAATTTTGCCATCTGCATATATTTCACACTTTGGTATTTCTTTCATCTTGCTGATGACCACAATTTCTGTTTCTTACAATTTAATTCAAAGCCTAGTTTTTTCATTGTGAACTATCACTGTCTCCAACAAACAGGTTAGATCTTCTTTAATGTAGTGCTAACACACAATGGCCAATATTTCCATTCCAAGATTAGAAATGAATAGCTTTAAGCACATTTATTGAAAGTGAACACATCAAAAGCAAGTCTTATATCATGTTTGCAAAACATGTTTATGACAGCAATAATTTAACCAGTAAATACATCAAAATACACATGACAATGCACTCTGCAGCTAGCAATATACAAGGCAAACTTTTTACGAATAACCTTTGAGAAATGATAAATGAAGTTGAATTAGATATATACAACAGTCACTTTTGCTTCCTAATATCTTGAATCCTTTCAGGCTGTGTGGTTCTAGACTTTTCTGTCACATGTTTTACTCTCAAGGATTTGGTGCCTCTCAAGTTCAGTTTATAATCTACTCAGGGGAAGGAAATATTTGGAGCTTACAGACAGCAGAATGTACTATAGCTGAGAGAATGCAGAATGTTCTATAGCTGAGAGACAGCAGAATGTACTATAGCTGAGAGACAGCAGAATGTACTATAGCTCAGAGACAGCAGAATGTTCTATAGCTGAGAGACAGCAGAATGTACTATAGCTGAGAGACAGCAGAATGTTCTATAGCTGAGAGACAGCAGAATGTTCTATAGCTGAGAGACAGCAGAATGTACTATAGCTGAGAGACAGCAGAATGTACTATAGCTGAGAGACAGCAGAATGTACTATAGCTGAGAGACAGCAGAGTGTACTATAGCTGAGAGACAGCAGAATGTACTATAGCTGAGAGACAGTAGAATGTACTATAGCTGAGAGACAGCAGAATGTACTATAGCTGAGAGACAGCATGCTGGAATGTTTGACAACCTGGCGCAGCAGTTTTATAGCAAACAAGGAATAAAATAGTAACATATTTTAGAAGTATAACTACTTCTTCTTCTTCTTAGCGTTCACCAGCTGTAAACTCTGGCGGAAAGTTCTGGTTGTTCATCCACTTTTGGACTGCAGTCCTGTTTCAGAACCTGAGTGTTGCGTGTGCATCTGTTTTACAGATCTGACTAATTTGTATGCAGACTGCTGGCTCCATGCCTCTCAGGCAGATGCACTCCGACTTCGAAGGAAGCTGCCAATTAGTAGACTCTTACGACATGCTCTTGGGTAGGCAGTGGGTCTATTTCTTTTTTCCCATATAAAGGGCCCTGGAACCTACACAGGGGGTATAATTACTGAGTTCAATGCCATGACATTTGCAAGTGAGAAGTGCTCTAAGATATTGTTCCTTGTGCTAAAAATGCTCTCAAGTCTGACATAAATCTGAGTCCTGATGTTCTTGCATGTCTACAATGTAGCTCTTTCTTGATGACCTAATTTTGTTTTTCCATTTTAGACTTTCATGTTCATTAACAAAATATGCAGCATAATAAAAACATTCAGAGCTGTGGGTCTATTGTCTAAATCATAAAGCCATATACAAGACAACTGGAGACATTATTCA